TATTCAAGGATAAAACTAAAAAGATGAGCTAATTTTGTTTTAATTAAATCCTCATTTAGAAGTTTGAAATAAATGTTTTCTATTTAGATTTCAATTAGACTTGAATTGTAGTCCAGATTTCATATATTCTTTCCTTCTGCTACTCTATTACACATTCCCAATTATGTTTTCCTAGTTATACACACAACTACATAAAAGATTTCAAATATTTTTCCTAGATTTAGTAACAATACACATTTTAAGTCCCACAAAAAGGCTGTTTTCCAGGATTGCAGCAACTGGGCAAAGCCTCATCCAAAGGAATTGGTTTGTATACTCAATGAAAAATTTCTGCCTAGTCAATTATATTTCTTTTCAGACTGGCATGCATTTTCCCATTTAGAACAGGAAAGAGGAAGAAAGACAAAGCCCCAGCCAATCTGGAAAGTGATTGTGTTCTGGGCAAAATCAGTTTCAAACACCAACAACTTTAGCAAAGAAGAAAGTATTTTTTTTTCCTTTCTCACCACTGAAGTTTCTCTATAACATCATATGAAAAGACAGGATTGTCTTTATTCTTTCACTAGAACGAAGTATGGTATTTGCCAAACTCAGTGTTTCTCCAGTGTATTTGACTAGAGTCAGGTTCCCATGCTCCAAAGACATCTGTGAAGGATGCTTCTTTTTTAAAAAAAAATTCTTCCTGTCTAAATCTAGGAAAGGACTCTAGGTGAAAGTACACTATGAATGTTAAATGCAGTTTGTACAGATCTGTGCAAAAAAACATGTTATAATATTTTCATTTTGGATACAAGCACTAAAGGGATGCATAGTGAAGCAAAGCATGGTTACATTGTGATCCCAATTACTAATAAATCATTTTAAAATTCTACTGTGCTTTTTAAATTTTTCTAAGATCATTGCTCAGTTCTGATCAGAATATGCTTGACATATTTTTAAAATAATAAATGTATCCTCAAAATTAGACCTTCCCATATTGCATTCTTTGATATAGACCTCACAAGGTGATCAATAAAAATTTCAATTTATACTGTTGATCATGCTCCCCTATGTTTTGAATTGATTGAAAAGTGGAATATAGGTCTCTTTTTCAATAAACATTAACTCCAAGCAATTAACCTCTCTAAAAGAATCAGGGGTAGATCAATGGAGGAGTTATAATGTGAGTAAACAGTTTGCAGTGGCAGCTTTTATAGGAAACTACAATTTCAGGTGCAATTGTCTCTGCAGAACAAAGGTAAGAATATACTTCCTTATGTTTCAATTACAATCATGTTATATATTACTCAGCATTATCTTGAGAATTTGGAAGAATATCCAGTTGCCAAATATTATCCCAGTCATTAAAAAATGGGGGGAGGAGAAAACTCCAGCCAAAAGTGTTCAAAGATAACATTGTTTTTCCTGCACTTTTTATTACGATACCAATTTCCAATGGAATACCCTGATCTAGGATAAACCTATAAGGCAATATAAATAACATCAAGAATTCTGGAGAAAGGCAGCTGCTTGTAAGATACACTGGAAAGAAACTGGTGATCACAAGCAGATTAGTCCATGGTGGCAGTGACACAAGCTAAGCAGGAGGTATGGATAATCTGGGTAAGTGCCATGGAAAAATAAATATCATGATTGGACTTCAGGCAAATGGAAACATTTCAAATTGGCTTCCTACAGTATTCTGTGGAACATCTGATGTCCACATGTCCATTACCAACAACTTCAGCACAGAACACAATAAAGGCAAATGCTGGATATATTTTCAAGATATTGCATTACAAGCCTCTCTCAAGACAAAACAGAATAAATTAGGGGAGGGGGCAAATTTGCAATGCTAGCTTGCTTATACAAAAGGCTGGCAATCTTTCCTTGGAGCACCACCAGGGTTGAAGCCTTTTTGGAAAGCTGATGTGGGTGTAATTTAAAGAATAAAGGAAGGAACATTAAGTTATTCCAGAGTTAGGTTCCAATTGGGCTTCAGAGGCTTTCCCTCTATTTTTTGCTATCCTAAATACTTGCAGGTTGATATAGATTCTATATTCCTTAATTCTTGGTATAGAACTTGTATGAATGTCTTACATCCAGACACAATGCATATATGAAATTCATTCATCAAAGTATGCTTTGCCATTTTGGGTTTTCCAGAATTATCCATATGGGAACTATATATATGGAATGTGTTTGTGTGAATATGCACACATACATACAAGCACATGAGCACACATACATATGCTTAAGAGCATTTTGAAGTAGTGTGTGTTTTTACTATCAAATTTGTCTATTAACATGACCTTTGAAACATTACATGTATGCAGGCATTAACCTTAATATCAGAAGATGTCTTATAGAAAAATGAAATGTCAAATAGGTGATTCCCTGCCCGAATTTATACCCCCCATAATATTTCTCTTCAAAACACTTTTCTCCCAATATAAATGCAACACTGGTATGCAGCACTGTTCGAGCAGAAAAATGCTTGGGGAAAAGAAAGTTCAAGTGGAAAGAATTTCGATTTTCACTATTCATGCAAATGTTGTTCAAGACACAAATACCCAGTCCAGTCTTAGTTTAAATATGTTAAACATATTTAAGCAGCTGTCATTACATCTGCCTGAATCTTGGAATTTTGTTTTAATTTAGAACATAATCTCCAACAAACTAGCAGAGTGCAGTGGTGAAGGTTTTGGAGTAGCATGAAGAGGACCCAACTTTGTGAGCTACCCTCAGCTACAGTAGTTCACAAGCTGACTTTGGGTCAATCACTGCTTTACATACTAATAACATTTGTATAACTCTCACCACAGAGAGAAAAATAAAAGGGATAGATCATTATGCATCCCTACTTTAGGCTATGGAAGGAAAAGTAGAATATAACTGTAAATTAATCTTTAAAATCCATTATGAATCAAAAATTTGCAGAAATACGAAAAAACTTTACAACCAGTTTACAGCACTTTGATTGTCACCACTTTGCCAGCCACAAGAATGTGTTCTCTTTATATAAAGAATGGATGCATATTCCCATAACCGTAGCCCTAAAGTTCTTTTAATAGTGTCTTTCAACCCGAAATCCTTTTCTTACCTTTGCACAAATTTTAGCATAACTCCTTTAGGAGCTAGTGTGTGGTTAGAAAGAGGAAGCTATGCTTGTTTGCATGGAATCTGCTATTTCCGCCCCTGCCAAAACACTTGTTTAAAAAGTCATGTAATATCTCTATTAGACTGTAAATGCAATTGACAAGGAAATGGCCTACTGACAAAGCATTACCTTTGTGGCAGCGCCAACCAGCCTACAGCAAAATAGCATACAGAATAACTTCAACATGCATTCCCAAGTAACAAAACAGTGTTTTACATAAATACCACAGAATCTAAGCAAGATCCAGAAAAAGCAATGAAAGTTTGCCCAAGCTTTCATGCTTGCCTATATCAATTGAATGTCTTAACTAAAACAAAATAGAAAAGCATCCACATATGTCCAGGAATCTTATGAAGTTGGATCATATAACACTGGGAAAACTATCACAACTAAAATCTGTGTAGTTCTTCTTAACCACTGTAACAAGTCACTAATAAAAATTAAGAAGAACTATGGGGTATCAAATATACAAAAGAATATTAACTGCATACAAGCCCTTAAAGACCAGAACACAAATTATTAACAAGAACATGTGTTGTGCGTAAAAGAGAATTGTTTTTTAAAAAATGGTTTTGCCCTTTAATAAATTTGATTACAAGGATTAAAAAGTTTCGCAATCTGTCAGTTTGAAAAATTGACCCTTTAGTTAAAAGTAGCTATTTCATACTAAAAGAAATATGTTTAATAATATAATTCTTTTCATCATTTAGTGCCTCTTATAAGCAACTATGTTAAAATTATTCCAGATATTCTCAAGAAAACATGTTATTTATTTCATTTATATGCCACCTTCTGACAAATAAGGCAACTGCACAGTTTACAAACAGTAAAAAGATAAATGTAGAAGAATAAAAAGTTTTTATTAAATAAAAAGTGTTGTTTAACCATTACAGACAATATTCTGCATTAATGTGAATGTTGTCTATTTCTAATATGCCTTATTATGAATTGTTGGTTCATAGTTGTCCACTAGTTGGGTTCCGACATTGCACTAAGCAATAAACTATGATTTACAAACCACAGCTGCTGGATTCATACAATACAGTATGTTCCTACTATTGCAATCAAGCAGAAACTAAATGTTAGAAATAATGTCTTTAACAGCATAGATTTAAAGCTTTTGTCCAAGGTTAAAACAGTAGGTGTTTAAACCATACTCCCTCATGTGATGAGACTTATACAAATGATTTTGGAGGAAATAATGGCCCAACAAAAATATGTGAAGTCTTGTGTTTAGAGTTAAAAAATATGTAAAGTTCTCTCTCTCTCTCTCTCTCTCTCTCTCTCTCTCTCTCTCTCTCGTAGCGACAGTTTAATATCTGAGACTATTGATAACAATTAGTGTCCTTTCTAATTCTGAATTAAATAATGCCTATCAGCTCAAGAAAGAACAACTTGCCAATATCACATAAAATGGCACCTCCATCCCTAACCTTTGAAAAAACCCACAATATTTATCAGCTATGATATTTAAAAACTGTGCTGAATGGGTAAAATTACTAACCCTTGGGAATGCTAGTTGTGCTTGTATCAAAGTGACAACTCCAAAAATGTCAAAATTAGCTAACACTTAAAGCAAATGTCAAAAAGGAATAACAATAAATGGCATTTTGAAAAATAGTTGCACACTTAAAATGCATTACACAATTTAAAGCAGCTATTATTTTTTCCCAGACCCTGTTTGAAAACATTCTTTTATTTAAATATCAGAAGCATAGCATAAAATACTTTAACACCCTATGTCACTGTAACAATTGCAGAAAAAAGAGTCAGCTTAGCCAAATACTGCTTCTACTTTTCAATGAAAACAGTGTACAAAGTTTTTCTAATTATAGAAAAACTCACAATTTCTGTTTCTTACCCTCATTGGATGAATATCAGCATACGGTGGCTTTCCTTCAGCCATTTCTATTGAAGTAATACCAAGGGACCAGATGTCTGCCACACAGTTATAACCAATTTCTTGTATTACTTCTGGAGCCATCCAAAATGGAGTACCTATGACAGTATTGCGTTTTGCCATTGTATCCTGTAAAACATTTTTTTAACTTAACACAAAATGTACAACATTTTTGGAGTGATGATAGCTCAACACGCTACCTGCATGGAAAGAAAATCACATCAGCCACTCTATAATCATGAAGCATCCACTGAACCTACACTTATCAACAACTATCAAAGGTTTTTCTTTAATAGTTTATCATCCAAATGTTTAAATCAATTTGTTCAATACAGTCCTGCACTAAACTGTTTACATTACGATCATTAGCAACAGCAATAGCACTTAGATTTACGATATTAAAAAGAAGTTGAGACTCTAGAAAGAGTACAGAGAAGAGCAACAAAGATGATTAGGGGACTGGAGGCTAAAGCATGTAAGGAACAGCTGCTGGAATTGGGTATGTCTAGTTTAATGAAGAGAAGGACGAGGGGGGACATGATAGCAGTCTTCCAATATCTCAGGGGCTGCCACAAAGAAGAGGGAGTCAAGCTATTTTCCAAGGCGCCTGAAGGCAGGACAAGAAGCAACGGGTGGAAACTAAGCAAGGAGAGAAGCAACCTAGAACTAAGGAGAAACTGCCTGACAGTTAGAACAATTAACCAGTGGAACAACCTGCCTCCAGAAGTGGTGAATGCTCCAACACTGGAAGTTTTTAAGAAGAGACTGGACAGCCATTTGTCTGAAATGGTATAGGGTTTCCTGCCTGAGCAGGGGGTTGGACTAGATGACCTCCAAGTCCCTTCCAACTTTATTATTATTATTATTATTATTATTATTATTATTATTATTATTATTATTATTATTATTACATACTGCTCCATAATGCTCTACAACACTCTCTGAGCAGTTTATAATGTCAAAATATTGCCCCCGACAATCTGGATCAATACAGGAAATCACTTTTTGGACAAAGCATTGAAAATTGCCCCTAAATAATAATGCAGCAATTGTACCTAACCAAGAACCTTAGTTTTCAAAGCCTACACTACAGAAAAAGACTCAAGAGACAATGCACCTAAACCTTCTTTAGAGTTTTCCTGCTTAATGCTGCAGTTCAAGAGTTCTCTGGACAAAGCTGCCTCTCCCAGTATATACCACATATGAACTGTAAATAACCTCATAAAACTGATATCAAACTGATTTTAATTAGAAAAACAGTCAAACACGACAACCTGACTATTTAAAGACATGTTATCTTTCAATATTTGTTGAGTGTACTAGCATATAAAATATACTTTTATTTTTATACTTACAGTTAACTGTCCAGCTACTCCAAAATCAGCTAACTTGGCATGCCCTTCAGTATTCAAGAGAATATTCCCAGCCTTTATATCTCTATGTATTTTTCTCATGAAGTGCAAATATTCAAGTCCTTTAAGAGTAGATTTAAGAATGGTTGCAATTTCATCTTCTGTAAGCTGTAAAGAAAATACCAAAATTTCTCTTTGGTATACTCACATTCCTATGTTTGCACATTTATACAAACACAGTGAATCAAACTACAACACAAAATTACTCATGTGGCATACAAATACTGTACAAAATGCTTTTAAATTGTAGGGAAAGCAAGACTTTATCAAGGACCCATTCATGCTGTATGGATTGAGTCTACATAAAATTGTGAATCAGTGAACAAGTTCAGGAAGGAGAAAGAGACATTAACAACAAAGCAAACACTGCAGACAAAAACCTAAACAAATACATTAAGAAATGCCTAAGAGACCGTAAGAATGTATGTCTGGATTTTGAATTGCATTCAATTTTCTGTATATTCTAAATGAAATTTAATAAATTTAGGAGAAAAACTCTTCAGATACTATAACTTTGGGATACAGAGCTACAGAACACCAACACGTGAAACATAAATTTCAATGTGATGGATTTGATTGCAAGATCACAATTAGACCCGTTTCATAGATATGCAGCTATCCAATTATTTTTCTTAAGATTGTTCAAAATGTTCTGAAAAAATTTCATACCACATTTATTCTTTCTAAATGTTTATTCTATTTCTGCTTTAATTTTCATTTGGGCTTTACTATTTCTCTATATTTGTAATTTTGTGGTGTATATGTGATTTTTTTTTTAATTTTAGAATAGAATAGAGCTGGAAGGGATCTTGGAGGTCTTCTAGTCCAGCCCCTCGCTCAAGCAGGAGAACCCTCTACCATCTCAGACAAGTGACTGTCTAATCTCTTTTTAAAAATCTCCAGTGTTGGAGCGTCCATGATTTCTGGAGGCAAGCTGTTCCACTGGTTAATTGTACTCACTGTTTTTGTGGTAAACTCAATTAAAATTATATAAATGGAATGAAATAAAATAATATTGTATAAATAAAATTTGCCAATACCACCCAAAATCCCTAGATCAGTGGTTCTCAACGTTTGTGTGACGGCGACCCCTGTCACACAAACGTTCTGCGCATGCACGGCGGCGCGCGCATGGGGGCACTGCCCCATGTGTGGCGCGCATGCGCGGGGGGCGCCCCCGGAGGGGAGAAAATGGCGGATCGCCGCCTTTGGCGACCCCCAAACAATGGTCGATTGACCCCAAATGGGGTCGCGACCCATAGGTTGAGAACCGCTGCCCTAGATGTTACTGCAATAGAAATAAATCATTTTCCACAAAAGTTATTTCTAAATCAGCCATCTCTGATTTCAAGATTCATTTTTTAAGTGGTTTAAGTGTTTCATGTTTTGCTTCTTCAAGATACATGCCAGATTTGAAGAACAATTTGATCTGGCAATAATTAAGTACTTCAAAAGTAAATTCAGGAAGGGAAAAATAATATTAAGATAATAAAAATAATACTAAGAGCAATATATATAGAGATACCAGTCGGAACAAAGGATAGAATATTTTTTAAAAGCAGAGATATTTGTAACAATGTGTCTCTTAAGGGACAACCAAAAAGTTTTTAATGTTAATGTTAATAAATATGAGATAGATATATTCAAGGATTATAGTCTCACTTCAGTTTTCTAAACATCTATGATGCACAAAAATGGTCTCAGAATCATATCAGATCATGCAAGTGAAAATAAATGTAAGCAAAAATAAAGCAAGCAATACAAACTAAGACTACATATAACTTTATTAGCAAAGGAGGAAGTCATCAGGAAGGATTGCCAAAGCAGTAGAGGAATTTTTCAATAAAAATATCAGGGTAGAAGTGATAATTCTCTTTTACAGCATCAGCTTCAATTAAAAAGATCAATTAAAAAGATTTTTCTATTTACCTGAAAAGGTAAATAGAGTTAAAGGAAGAAACAATACAATTGTAACAGCAACATAAAATTACTACAGCTAAAAAAGTTCAACATTACGAGCCAACGCTTTGAATAAAGAACCTTCATTAGTGAACTAAGATGTTAAAATATTTATATCAATATCAGCCAATAGATGGAATTTAATTGAGAAATATACTGATGTACATCAAAAAGATTTATCTAAATAAACTTTATTTAAATGAATATAACATTCTTAGTATATTGGAATGGCCATTATTCAGAGACTAGAAAATGCAAAGGAGTTAGGTTTATAGATTAAATCCACAATTTTTTATTTAATATCAATTATTTAGATTCACAACCGATAATTTATCAAGTGGAGCAAAACAGATCTGACCACCCTCAGATATATATATATATTTGTTTTCTGAGGTTTTCGCGGATGTTTCTATGTAGGTCTTTGGTTATTCAGGCCTGAAGATGACGAATGGGACGTCGCCAAGACACTTCCAATTTTACGCAGAGAGAAAACCTGAATAACCAAAGACCTACATATATATATATATATATATATATATATATATATATATATATATATATATATATATATGAAATATACATATACATGTATATATAATATACATATACATATAAAATATATATATTGCACCAAATATATTTTGCCAAATTACAGAATGAATTAAAAGATAAATATTATTTCAAGTTTATAAACATATGCAACATTTAGGGATTTTCATTCTATAGCCTATTTCAAATTATATATGTTGTATATTAAAGTCAAAGACTTAAGGCAAGCCATCCATTAAATTTATCCATTTGAAGAAAAACTATATCTTTAAACATGATTACATTCTCTAACTTTATCTTTCTCAGACACTCTTGGTCTCCTTAATTAAGAATTTTTTATCATGGCAATACATTTAAAATGTGTATTCAAAAAGAAAAGTTAGTTATAAATAGAAAAAATACTATATCTAAAACCTCAAATTTCAAAACAAGTTGTTTTATTTTGTAATTTTCAAAATGAAACATGTTGCCTCCATCTTATTAAGAGATAAATTTTAAAGCATGGTAAAAATTAAATTATACAATTTGTACATTTAAAATCTGAGTATAATCTTATTTGTAAGAAAATAAATTTAAAATGGCATGAGGAAAACTAAATCCCTTTTTGAAACAGTCTATCAAAATCTGACAAAGTATTGGCAAAAATTAACATCATCCCCTTCTCTACTAATAACATTTCTTCAAGAATTTAAAGGAACTATATGTTAATACTTCAAGGAGCCTATATAAACAAGTCCCTAGAGCAAAAATTACAGATGTAGTATTTTATAAAATAAAAACTTACCGTTTTATTTCGTAATCTAATTATGTCAGAGACAGAACCAGCTCCACAGTACTCCATAACAATCCAGAGGTCTGTGTTCTTAAAATAGCTGCCATAGTACTTGACAACATAAGGGCTAAACATAAAAACATAGTTGTCAACATATAGAAATTAATCTTTAAAGATGTTAGAAAGCAGTTCAATGTCTTTTCCCTGAGCAGCTGCAGTTTTTAAATAAGATATATTAATCTTCAAAGAATAAAAAACTGCTGAGCACTTGAGAATGATAAGACGCTCTTAACACATATTACTCACCAATTTGTATAAGAACACGTCTTTTAAAATATTTTTATAAGAAAAGAGAAAGGGAAATATTCTCAACTGAAAAGTATCCATACACACTTCCAAGTAAGTGCAATTTGAAAAGTAGGTGGGTTTTTTTGAAGATAAAAACAAGTCTACCACCATCCAAAAATCTGTATGAGCAGATATATTTACTTAGAAGAGAGAGAGCCAATTTCCTCATTAGGAACAATCAGATGACCCACATGATTGTACAAACTTTTGAGTTTTTCCCAAAAAATGTTATTAGGAAAATCCAGAAAGTAATCCAGAATTTAGCATGAGGTTTGTAATCCAGGCAATATACTGAGTCTACAGATTGAATGCTTCTGTATATAGCTTCCAGTACCATTACTGATCAACTGCCTCAACCATCACACTAATACCAAAGAAACCTTATGCACAACACCCTTTGTCATTCCCAATTTCTAATCAGCAAGGGAGTTCCAGGTGCATGTTTGTCCACAATTCACAATTAACTGACTTTGTTCAAAATGCTCCCTAAAATATTTATTTGACTGCCAAATTATCTTGAGCAAAAACACCTGCTTTGTATGCAGAGGGCCCTAAGACCATTATTTCAATCTCCAAGTAGAGTTGGGAAAAAAACAAATCATGCCTGAAGCTCGGCAGAATACCAGCTCATCAGCTTTAACAGTTTCTGGCTAGGTAAACTGTACTCCAACTTAACAGAAATTGAGTCCATCCCTCCAGTGTTTAAAGCAATCAGACAACAAATATTGGATAATGGCAGAATTTAAAGCTTCCAAATTCCTGAACCTAGGGACTTTCAAGTTAGAGGAAACCTCTGTTTTTTTATTTTATTATCAAATTAGGTGCATCTATTACTATCTCATACTAATACCATCATGACTTCTCAACACTGTTAAATGAACATCCACCCCCATCGGATTTAACTCTAAATAAAATACCTAACTCTAAATAAAAGTACTGTAACATTCTTATCAGAGATATATAGTAGACTTTAAACCTTCCACCTTACAACTGTGTTATTCCTAAGATACAATACTTTGGGACCATCACCCTAACAAATTCTGACAACCTTACTCTAAAAATTAACAACCTGCAATAAAAGGACTGATTAAAGAACTGTTGAAGTATATGATATTTAAAAATTTAGAGTCAAGTAGTTTTCTTCCAATTTTCTAAGTCAGGTTGTTAGTCTTACTTTAACTACTGTGTGTTTTTGAGCATTTGCAATTTGTCCATAAAGATCTTTACTGATATAAAACAAACCTCAAAAGAGAAAGAGTTTTTTCTCCCTGCAAATATTTTACAAGGGAGCAATCCACCAATATTTTACTAAGGGCACACCCTTATCTTTGTTCATCACCTATAAATCACTGCCAACTTTGGCATGTAAAGAAACCCCACTTAATCCTTTGTACTATATTGTCTATCTTTGCAATCTATCTGAAGAACCATTTACAAAGCTCCAATGTTACTCTTACACAAATAACTCTGCTATGGTGTCAGAAACTTCTGCATGTTAATATATTAGCTTTTTTCTCTTTGCTTTATTATCCTCAGTGTTTGTCTCAGTTAATAAATAAAAATCTAAGCATTTATTTGAAAATCATATTTACCAAAATTACAGTATAATTCCTAATCTGATATAAACACATTGAACATAAATAACGTTTCCATTAAATAACATTAAATTGAGAGCCATTGTATATGGAGCATACTAAATGGTACAGTTCTGCCCATTTAAAAATGGTTTTGTAAAAAGTGTAAGCACAATATCTCTCTTTCACCCATTAAAACAGGCCATTATTTTTCAAGCTATATGTGACCCTGTAAAAATTTGCAGATGCCTTAAGGAATCATTAAAATTAATCTGACTCTTAAAGCAGCCACATTGTTTTCAGGTACAGATGGTGGTCTGAAAAAATGATGGAAGTAGAAGAGGCAAATACTGTGCTGACATGAAGCCCCAAAATTTCTTCCAAATCATTCCCAAGCATGCATACACCTATCTCCTGATTAAGTGAGTTCATAGGTATTCCTACCCCACCTTACATACCGTACTTTCCGGCGTATAAAACGACTTTCGAAAGCGTTGAAATCAGCGCCAAAGTCGGGGGTCGTCTTATGCGCCGAGTCGTCTTATACACCGGAAATAACAGTAGTTTCCGGCGTATAAGACGACTTTCTAGGCATGTGACTCAGCACCGAAGTCGGGGGTCGTCTTATACGCCGGGTCGCCTTATACACCGGAAAATACGGTAATACTATATTTCATAAGACAACAGCTTTTTTATTTATGCACACACATTTCTTTTACTGGTTATTTCATTTCAATATTTATCTTCCTCTTGATTTTAAGGGGCAACATAGTTAAGACTCTGGGCTTGTTGGCTGGAAAGCCGGTAGCCCAGGTTTGAGATCTGAGCACCTGAGCTCCTGCCAACCTAGCAGTTCAAAAGCATGGAAATGTGACTACCACTTTGGTAGGAAAGTAAATAAACAGGTACCACTTGGTAGGAAAATAATAGCACTCCATGACATCATGCTGGCCACATGACGTGGAAATGTCTTCGGACAGCGCTGGCTCAATGGCCTTGAAACAGAGATGAGTACCACCCCCTATAGTCAGCAACGACTAGCAGAGTAAAATCCACATGGACTTCATCTTTTTTGACTTCTTCATCTTTTTTTTTAACCTGATTTTAAGAATGATTGGTAAAAAGTTGCACACTTTAAGATGGACACAAATAGAATCAATTACCTAGGAAGGTAATAGTCTCCCTTAACTGGCTGTGTTCAAGCAGCTGACACAAAATATTTTAATTCTGTTTTCTTGCACTGAACAGTGAATTGGTCTCAAAGATCTAAATTGCCCCTTTGAATTCTATAATTCTTTATCATATGCACAACATTTCCCAGAACTAAACATTTAAAACTTTTCATAAAACCAAGAAAAATTGCAACAACTGTCTTTTCACCCTGTTACCCTTCATCAGTTCATTTTATCCATTCGACTATAACCAATAAGTGAAAAATCACTATCTAATAATTTTTTAATGGCTGAATTTGCATTATAAATTGATCCTTACCTGTCACATTGTTGCATTATAGAAATTTCTTTAATTATTTCCTGTAGATCTGATTCAACAGGGACTTGCTTAATTGCTACAACTTGTCCAGATTCCTTATGAATAGCTTTAAATACACTGCCATAAGACCTGAAAGGGAAATATTAATTTATGCCATTATTAATAAAATCACCATGCCCACTCAAGCCATTGATTCCAATAGTTTTTTCAATAAAAACATTTACTGCTTATACACGTTAACTCCAAAGTTATGTAGTACAAGAGGAAGAATAAATGAGCTTGCATCGCCATCAGAGTTCAATATGGCTTTTCATTACATATCCATTGTATATTGTTACACAACCGTACATATACTTTGTTAATTACTTTCATTTTGCACTAGCTGCCTGTTTATTTTTGCTGTCAGTTCCTGTTCAGCAAAACAATGGAAAATAACGCCTCTCCTCTTTTAGTAACCAGTGGGGAGTATAATGGCAGGAAGAAACCAGCAATCTATAAAGCTTTGATATTACTTTTTCAGAATTGCTAGGAGAATAAGCTTGGATATCCGAATACATTCCTAGCAACCCTATTAAAATTACTGCTTTTGGAAAAGTGCCTCCCTCTTAAGCATAGATTCCCCACATTGATTATGCTTGTCAGAAGCCAGCTGAGAAGGTTACAAATGGTGATCACATGACCCTGGGACAATGCAACCTTCATAAATACATGCCAGTTGCCAAGCACCCAAATTTTGATCACATGACCATAGGGGTACTGCAGTGATCATAAATGTGAAAAACAATCATAAGTCACTTTTTTCAGCGCCACTGTAACTTTAAACAATCACTAAACAAATGGTTTTAAGTTGAGAGCTGTCTGCATATAGTCGCGAAGAGTTGACACTGACTTGATGGCACATAAGCAATCAAACAACTAATATGCAAATCAATAGGATGTGAAGAGTGCACACATCTTTTCTTAAGTTTTAGCTTTTAGGCTTTTTGTACACACTTTCCATTATTTCAAGAGCTCAGGAATTCTGGGAGTTGAAGTCCACGAGTCATAAAAGAGCCAAGGTTGCCTACCCCTGTTTTAGGGTAATATGTTAAACACAGAAAAGAAGAACATAATTTTTAACTTAAAAAAATAAAGACATAAAAAGAACAGGATGTACAGCTAAATCTAGTTTGAATCAATACAATTTCCTATACCTGTCTATGTCTTTCTATTCTTGCAAATCACTTCTCCTCTCATTATGTCCATATATTACTTCATTCCTTTTACTCTTTAAACTTCTCACCTCTTCTTTTTTGGAGGACCTCATCAATTTCTTCCAACCATGATGTTTGGTCTTTCCTTTTCTCTTCCCTATATATTTGGTCTGCAATGTGATTGTCACTATATGAACAAACCTCAACATATTTTTTTCATATTTATCACTCACTATAGTCCAATGTACATTTTTTTGTATATGTTAAATCACCCTGGATGCAGTAAAGTTAATGTAGATGCAATTGCTCATCTGGACTACTTTAGGTGCAACAGAATTATTCATTATTTCAAGAGGATATCCAGATGGAATTTGGTTTACTGTAGCTGACATCCATTAAACAGGGGTAAATTAAATCAATATTTCAGTATATCACATCAAAAAGAATATTCAGATAAAGATTTTGCAGCAGCTTTCTTTGTATTTTCTATATGAGCCGTGATGGTGCAGCAGTTAGTATGCAGTACTGCAGGCTACTTCTGCTGACTGTCAGGCTGCCAGCAGTTCAGCAGTTCAAATCTCACCGGCTGAAGGTTGACTCAGCCTTCCATCCTTCTGAGGTAAAATGAGGACCCAGATTGTTGGGGGCCTTATGGTGATTCTGTAAACCGCTTAGAAAGGGCTGTAAAGCACTGTGAAGCAGTATATAAGTCTAAGTGCTATTGCTATTTTATTCATTAGTAAAACATTTCCAAAAGGCTGCAAGAAAGCTGATTTTTAAAAACTTTAATATTATATTAACTGGAAAAAGAAGTTCAATAGTATTTCATTCATTTGGGAACTTAACTAGAACTTATCTAGAAAAAAACAACTAATTTCAGCTAATAAGAATAGCACGATATCTTCTCTTGCCACAGCTTCATCTACTGTCACGTATGCTCCAAATCCCTCCAGGCCTCAAAGCAGGTTTTAAAGGGGAGGAGGCTTCACAGGGAAGGAAGGAAAAAAATATTATCATGTAAACAAATTTCCACTTGCATAATACCAGAATTCACTTAATGTTAATTATTTTTCTTAATTATTTTCTTCACTTTTTTAATTAAAAAGTGTTAATCAGAATTAACATTTATCTAACACAGTTCTCAAAGTGTGGTCTGAGGATCCCCTATATATCAATAAACATAAACTACATCAGCCAAGGAAAAAGTATGTATTGTAAAGAAAAATAAGGCTACAGGACAAATTTAAATTGGTAATGCCAGGAATTCTCCCTCTGAAAGAACCAGTGCTCACACGGCACAGCTAACCCCATGGAAAGGCTGACCACAATGAGCATGCAATTACTTATATTCCAACAATCATTGTAAATGCCTTCCTAGTCATTGCAAAGAATGCTTAAAAGTCCCCTGCAATGGCTCCATTGGGATTGGTGTTATTACAGTTTTAACTGCTGCTACAGATCCTACTGTCTCTGTCTTCATCCATCTTTCTCTTCTATAGTAGGTGCAAGATAGACAAATATTGAAATGGGGAGAGAGAAAGCAGTCTTCAAAGTTATATGCTTCTGGAGCGCTTTTCCAATGAACAAGGGAATACAGCAGCATGGTAGGTTTCCCACAATTATAACTGGATCTGTGGAAAATATTAGTTAACTTAGAATATATATATATGATCACTCATTCAGTGACCATTCAAACTTACAACAGAACTGAACAAATGGTACTTAAGATCAGTCCTTGTAGTTACCACCTCTGAAGCACCTAATCACATGACTACAATTTACAACCTTCTCTGTCGATTTCTGACAAGCAAAGTCAAGGGACGAACTGACAAAACGTTGCAAGTTGCAGTCATGTAAGATCCTTGCTTAATGATGAAAACTGGAACTGTCAGAACTACTAACAAATACTCGCAATCATATGATGTTTTGACTTACAACCACATTGCTTAATGATGAAAGTTTCCGGTTCCAATTAGGATAGTTAAGCAAGGACTACCTATACACAAATCTCATTAGGCTAGCTGGATGTAGGCATCAGTCCAAATATGGAAGATTTTTCAACTCAAGATCAAGCTCACTATTTTCCACCGTGTTTGCATGATACATGTTTTAATTTTCCCTAGCTATCCGTACATCTCTACACATACAAAATTGTACATACCCTTCACCAAGCTTCTCCAAGACATCAAATACTTCTTCAGGCTGTTTAGTCAAGCTGTCTTCACTGAGCTTTTTAAGCTTGCTAATAAAAATATAAAAACATTTGAAATAGTCTACAATTAGTAATTTGAAATTTACTTTCATCTTTAATTATTAAATATACACTTTTATTTTCTTTATAATAAATAGAAATCTGCAGAGTTTCAATATGCACCACATACTTTCTAAAAAAAAAAGACTAAGGTAATTTCTACTATTTTATTTATCTATAATTATTCTCAAAACATAAACTGAGGTATTAATATGTTAATGTCAAAATTACAATTCTTAAACACAAGTGCATCCCATTCAGAAGTAATCAATTTCCCACTTGAAAGCAGTTTTAATGGACAACTAAGCACACGAAGGGGAAATAATACAAGCAAGCAAATCATAGCTTGGGGAGGAGAAAATCTGTACAAAAGGAAAGCAAATCAACAGTTGTGCAATTGACTGCCACCTTACTTGTTTTTTTGGGAAGGCATCAAACTTGGCTATTCCAGAGAGCCTTGGGAATAGAGATGAGGGGCACATGTCTGTTATAGGCTGGAATGCTGCTATTTGTTCCCTAAGACATTATTGCTTTGGCTTTTTTGCTTTCTCATTGATATTATTAATCAACATCTCTATCTTACTGCAAGCTGCTCAGTATCCCACATGGATTGGAGCACTAAACTAAACTAAAATTCAATGGTATCCTTTTCCTTTTCCATATGTGCTACAAATTCTAACACAGAAATTAGTCCACTATAACAGGGCTTTTCAACCTTTTCACCCATTGTACCACTTTTAGGATATGGCAACATCCGAGTACCACCAGTTGCCTAGCAAGGTATCAAAAACTTGATGACCCAAAAAAAAAGGAAAAAAGTGATAAAGTACAGGTAGTCCTCAACTTACAACAGTTCGCTTAGTGACTGTTTGAAATTACAATGGCACTGAAAAAAGTGCCCCCCAAGCCACAGCCGAGTAAGACACCTGCCTGCCCACCCGGTGGCGCTCTTCCTCCTGTCCGAGGTTTTCATTGTTGTGAGCATTTCTATTGAGGATTGGCAGCGGGGGTGGGGTGGGGGGTATTTGGTTTTTATTCCCCCCGTCTACTGGGTGGTTGCAGCAGGTTTTGGTCACTTCACATGACCCTGGGACACTGTGACCATCTTAAATATGAATCAGTTGCCAAGCATCTGAATGTAAATCACAAGACCCTGGAGATGCTGCAACATTCCAGCTGATCGGCGCTTCTTCTGGGCTCAGCAGAAGCATCAGGATCAATGCTGCTTTCCAGCTGGTTGGTGCTTCTTCAGGGCTCAGCGGAAGCGCCAGGATGAGCGCCGAGCTCCAGCTGGAACCTGGCGCTGATCCTGGCGCTTCGGCTGAGCCCTGACTGCCCCAAAGAAGTGCCGATCAGCTGGAAAACAGCACTGATCCTGGCGCTTCCACTGAGCCCTGACAGCCCTGCAGCACCAGCTGTCTCTCGCTCAGACTTGTGCGGTGCTGCCACCGTTCAGCTCATTCCCCTCCCCCGCTACCACTTTTCTACGATGGTCGCGTACCACCTGCCAAGTGCCAATGTACCATAGGTGGTACCCGTACCACTGGTTGAAAAACTCTGCACTATAATACATCATAATTCATAACATTGAAAATTTGTATTTGTCATTTATTACAAATCATACACCTCTCTCACAGAGAGCTTTGAAAAGCTGTTTGATCTTACATAAATAAGACAAAATGAATCGCAAGGCAGTGTAGCCCAAGATTGATAAGAATATTTACCACAAGACAACACAAAACATAAAAGGGATAAATTAAGACCAATGTGATACACTTCAAGAATTATACAAAGTGGTGTTTGGTTTCTTAGATTATAAAATTATAAAATCCATGAACTAGAACAGGGGTTTCCAACCGGGGGTGCGAGATTAGTGTATATGCATAATTTGTTGCCGTTATTTCGAACTTTTGTAAGGGGTACAAGAATATATCAGAAGCGTTCTAGGGGTGCGGGGTATAGAAAAGGTTGGGAGCTGCTGAACTAGAAGAAATACTGTCTCTGAATCACCCCTTAAAATAAGCTATTCTAATGTCTCTCCAATTTAAATTTGTATTTAGTTGCAAGAAGTCCAACAGATGAATTCTATCTTGAATTCCAGGTCTATTAAATTTCTCTGTAGTGCAGATGCCATAGTAATTGACCAGATAGGGGGAAAAGAAACTCAAATTATCGTATGTTCAATTTATTTTGTCTTATTTTGTGTGCATATGTGCATGCATGCATGGATAACTCTTTGAAGTTTTCTTGATAGCATTTTCAGAAATGGTTTACCATAGCCTTCTTCCTAGAACTGAATGAAAGCAACTGGCTCAAAAACACCTAGCTAGAATCTATAAAGCAGGAATTCTGTTTTAATTTCCCATATCCATACGTAAAAACAACAACAACACCTTGGCAAAAAAAATCCACACTTACTGAGAATACATCCTACATGATTTAATGGAATTCATTTTTGAATAGGCATACATAGCTGTCCTTTATTGCAATGTCTGTAATCATATATTGCAAATTAAAGAAACAATTTACTTTTCTATCCCTCCTGTGCAGATACCCAAGATACATAATGGGACAAAGAATATAAGTTCTGATATAGTAATAATAGAGAATAAGGTTTTCTTTCCTCATTTTTTCAGAACACATACTCCTATATTGAATTACAACATACACGTAGTCCTTGACTTACAACCATCCATTTAATGACCATTCAAAGTTACAATGGCCCTGAAAAAAGTGACTTATGGCCAGTTTTCATGTTTATGACCTTGCAACATCCCCACAGTGATGTGATCAAACTTTGGGTGCTTGGCAACTGGCATGCATTTACAATAGCTACAGCAACCTGGGTTCTTGGGACTGTCATTTGCAACCTTCTTAGGAAGCTTCTGAAAAATAAAGTTAATGGAGAAACCCAGGTTCACCTAACGAATGCATAATTCACTTAACAACTGTAGTGATTTGCTTAGCAACTATGGCAAAAAGGTTGTAAAATGAGACATGACTCACTTAATAACTGTCTTGTTTAGAAACAGAAACTTGGGCTCAATTGTGATCTTAAATCCAGGATTACCTGTATTATCACACTGCAATATAATGTCTTCTAGTACACATACATCACAAAATAATTATAGTCACAATTCACTCAATTCATATCTTTAATCTTAAATTGTATTCTGTTGTTCTTGAATAATTGCTGCTTTAAGAGAATTATATTCGCAGGTTTTTACAAAAAGTTTATAAGCATTAAATTCCAGAACAAATTAGAGTCCTTCACAATTGTTATTTATTTATTCACTTATTTAAAAATTTATATAGCAGCCCATCTGCTCAAGGAACTCTTGGAGGATCTATTATATAGTTCTCTGTACTATAAAGGAGAAAACATGGCTCAGTGATAGAATAAAGAATGTTTTGCATGGATTAAATCCACAATTTGATGCATCTCAAATTATTAGATGTCTTTTTTCCATTCTTCTTTTATGACATGTAAAAATAGGGAGGGGGAGGAAGAGGAGGAGGATATATACATGTGGGAATTTTCAAGCAATTTTCTCAACATAGAAAAGTTATTGAACAATATTACCCAGGTTTTTGAAGTTATAAATGTAAATTTAAAAATTTCTTTCAGTTGCTAGTGCAAGCTGCATGGTTTGAAATAATACTTATTGAGATTTTAAAGATGTATATGAATTGGACAGAGGTACTTAGATTTACCAACGTGGTCTGGATTTGTCCTATTATGACATATGAGGCAGAAATATGACTTGTTAATACGTCTATGGAGTAATCACTATATATTAAAGATGAGGAATCAATCAGGAACCAACTTCTTTGGATGCCTACTATCAGTTGACAAGTCCAAATCAAGTGCTCAATCAGCCCAGATCAGCTGCTGTGAACTGCCCAGAGGCTCATCACAAAGCAATTCCCCCTGTCCCTGAAAATGTCATGCAGTTGCTGTCAAAATATCAAGACAAAATAAAACTAGACCACAGCCATTCAGCCCAAAAGTTCATCACTGTTTCATTGTCTCCAACCTTTCAAGGACTGCTGGTTCTTAATCTGTGCTTATATGTTATAAGATTTTATAAAAAAAAAAACCTTTTTTCCAATTTATAACCAAGATAATGTTCACATTTATTCCACAAAACAGCTTTAAAAAAAGAAACTAAAATACCTCTGTACATGAACTTCCTTTTTTTCTTCAGAATATTCATATGCTCAGAAGATAGATACCATATATGGCTATGTGGATTCATGCTAATAGTATACTTTATGTGCTACTTTGGTTTAGGTTTAACAATGTTATTCCTATTTTTAGTGCAGTGTATATGTGCACAAGGGTATGATTTCAATGTTGAGTATACAAAGCCTGAATATAGCCTACTGTACTAAAACAGCATCTAATTTTTAGGGTCAAAAATTCTCATATTTTGCTCATTATCTCATCTTTTCTCAAATTAAATAGCAACAAATACCTGATATGGTCACCCATATCATAAAACTAACACTGGGTATCCTGCAACTTCCATTCAGAAGCATACCAGTACAGTTGACAGGAAAAGAAAAACTTAAGAAAGAATCCACAGGGATTTTATTAAATTAATGAGGGCTAATATAGAAAAAAATAAAAAGTTGTATTAGCATTACGTTGAATACAAATAAATGGTCTTAGTTTCTTTCTAGCAGCTCCTTGGTATTTGAAGTCCTTCTTCCAACAGCTCAATCGTTCATCTGCATGGAATTTCTGGCCAACTATGCTGCTGCTCAACTACAAGGCTCAACTGAAGATAGAAGCCCTTAATTCTTACCAAGAACAGAAAAACATACTGTAAAACAAACTGCAAAAAATAAACTGTATCAGAAACATCCCAAAGGAAAGTTCCAATAACTAGTATAGTCAGGGCTCATATAATTTACAGATGGGAAAATAAACAGGATGACAATTTCTGGAAGTGAGGAAATTGGAATTTAATCTAGATCTAAAATGACAGAAGCAAAAAAGAGCTGTAGGTGCTTAATCATAGCCAGCTTAAAGATTGAATATACTCATTAACCTAAGCAGCACAGGATAAAAAAACATTAGGCACACCCACTAATATCAATTTCCTTTTTAGAGTAGTTGCATAGCAACATGGAAACTCAATAAATTATAAATGGGCAAAACTGGCAGTTAAGAATACGGGAAGATTTAGCGCAAGAAAATATTATTTATTCTTGGTTTCAATATAGGCAACTAGTAGATAAATGGAAGGTGGATTGTAAATTGGGTTTTCTTAGAGAAGATGGAAATCTTATTAAGCAAGTCAAGGATCAAAGACAAACCCATATCAAGAGAATTTATGGGGTATTAGTTGAAATGGACTCAGAAACGGAATTAATTAAAGATTGTATGATTAGATGGGCGCAGAATTTTGGTGTCCCAGTCTCATTGGACATTTGGGAAACCATTTGGGTGAGAAATGTCAAATTTACACAAGCACAGAACCTTAGGGAGAATTTTTATAAAATGTTTTATAGATGGCACCTTGATCCACAAAAAATGTCTCTTATGTACCCTGACGTGCAACCTAAATGTTGGAGATGTGGTTATAAGGATGCTTCCTATTATCATATTTGGTGGTCATGCAGAGAGATAAAAGCATTTTGGATCAAAATATGGTGGAATATCCAGAGAATTTTTAGAAGGAGGGTAAAATTTACTCCGCAATTATTTTTGTTAGGCATTGTTACAGATTGTGATACAAAGGAGGTTGTATTGATGTTAAATTTGATTACAGCCGCTAGGCTGTTAGTAGGACAATATTGGAAGAAGGAATCTTTGCCTACATTGCAGGAATGGTTTCTTAAAGTAGCTTATCTGGCGGAAATGGCAAAGATTTCGGCCTTCTTAAAGCAACAAACGCAAGAGAAGTTCCTTGCTGTTTGGGACAAATGGATAAAATTTATACAATTTAGATTGGGTATACAAAAATATCACATAGCTTTTTTATAAGTTTTATTTTTATATATATATAGATATTTTATATATATATATATAAATATAAATTTTTTAATTTAATTTTTTATTTTTATTTCTTAATTTTTAATTAAGCCTATATTCTGCTCTGGGAAGCTCAGGGGGGGGAAGGGAGGGTTTTTGTGAGGGGTGGGGGATGGGGGGGGTTTTTTATATATATGTAATGTTTAGTTTTTTTTTTGTATATGTTGTCTTTTGTTTTGTATTGTTTTTGTCTTTTTGTAAAATTTATAAAACTTTCAATAAAAAAAAAAAAATTATTTTCTTAAGTGCCACCAATCATTCTATCCAACAGCCTACATCCCACCATGATAGAAATAAATAGCTTATCCTTCAGAAGATTGTTTATGTTTATAGGTATTGTTATTTATTATAAAACACCTTAATCTTTAATGACTTACCCCATGTTCTACCTGGATTAGTTTTGAATCTCCCTATGTACATATACCTCCAACCACTGACTTACTCCTTTCAAGATGACAATATATTGATATTACAATAAAGATGATTTAAAATACTTTTGTTTTTTCTGAAAATATTTTGGAAATGCAATGTTTATGCATATATAGAATACTGCTTCTAAAAATATGTTTTCATTATTCAAAAGTTCAGTATTTCACGGTTGAGCAACTTCTCATCCACAGCCAATGGAAATATATTGTAACAATTTAATATGAACAAAACCAGACTTTAAAAATAAGCTGTAGTCTTCTGCCATTGTCCATTTTACACATATTTTCAAAACCTATTGTGGTAATACCAACATGCAAAGAGATTTCCCAAGCTTCCATTTTCATACTCTATCATGAAGACAGAGTCAAATGGTTCTCTGCAGTCATTTTAGATAGATAACCTTTATTGTCATTTTTTACTGTGGGCACAATGGCACACATTAAAAATGAAATTTAGTTGCTTGCTCTCAAAGTATAGACAAACATAACACACTTTTAAATATAAGTAACATATAAATATTAATCACTGTTCATCTTGAATACATAATGGAAGGAGGAAGCTTTAGCGTTCACAAGGTTAATATTGTATGGAACAAAACTGTGACTGAATCTGGATGTTCTGCTTCAGATACCACGGAGCCTGCTCCCAGGAGGTAACAAGAAAACCAGGTCGTGAAGAGGAGGTATAGTGTCTCAGACAATCTTACGGACTCTTTACCAGAGAACCATTGGGGATATATTCTCTGCCCCAGGGAGGCATCAGCAGAGAGGTCTTAGTGATTGGTATGCATATATAACTTCATGAGAGATTGATTTCTGCTCCATTACTACCAGAACCACAGTTATGTGGGAAGTCTTTATTTCTGTGTGGGCTTAAGCACCACACAGTATACACTAAGGACATATTAACAGCATGTTGAAGCTTTCATATAATTCTACTGCCACACAAAGGACCAGGCTCAAATTATCTTATTTGGGACATATAATGCAAAAATCCAGCTCTCTGGAAAGATGTACTGATGGGAAAGATGGGGGGGGGGGAGAGGACAACCAGCAGCAAGGTGGATGGATTCAGTTGCAATGGGAACGGGTGCCCCATTGGGAGACATGACAGAATGGATTATGGATAAATTATCATGGAGAAAATCTACCTAGGTGGTTACTAGGAGTCAAAACGACTTGATGGCACATAATCAATATAATCATACTGCCATACCAAGAAGTGAATAATTAAAGAATGATAAGTGAGTAGATTACAGTGTTTCCCTAGGAAAGCAGGCAGTGAGTGTCACACGTCCACGTGATCGTTTGCAGGCAGGAATTACTCTACCGTAGAGTTGTAGAGAGCAAGAGAACGAAGAGATGAACCCGAGAATGCTACGTGTGGGCTTCTTTACACGTACGACTTAAAGCAGCCTTTCTTCCCAGCCTTCCAATCTATTGGACTACAACTCCCATCTCCTCTAGCCAGTCCGTTGGAGGCATCAGGCTGAGAAAGGCTGGAACAAAGCCTGTCATCTGTGCCACCGAGAAATAGGAGGGATGAGCCGCCACTCACGCACCTACACACACATGCACACGGCAAGCGCAGAGGGTAAACCAAAGGCGAGGGACACCTCAACTCGGCAGGCCTGCCCGGTGACGGGGAGCCCAGGGTTCGAGGCGGGCGCTCAGGAGCGGCGAACTGCGGGGCACGCGGCCTACATTGGCCTTTTTCCTTCCGCCCAAAATAAACCTCGCTGCCGCCGCCGCCTCAGTCTCCCAGGAACGGGGAGGGAGGGAGACCCTGACCGTTACCTTTTAGGCGCTGCCTGCTCCATTCTGCGGTCGGAGGCTCCCCAGACGGTCGGCCCCACCAAGGCGCGGTGCTTTGCTGCCACCCTGAAGGGGCCGGACAAGGACCAATCAGGGAGCCCGAAGAAGCACCCCCTCAGGAAACTCTGCCCGCAACTTTCTTCCGCTACTGGCCCTTTAAAAATGAAGCACGCCTCCTCTCCCAGGGGGCCGTTGCCGGACTCCAATACTCAGCTGAACGCTCGGTGGCTACTCTAGAAATACCGCCCCTCCAGCCCTCCAATTGGCGGAAAACGCGCGGATCCAAAACGCGCATTGGTGTTTCCAACTGCCAGCCGGAACTCCGGAGAAGACGGAAAAGAAAGTTGCTTCAGGCCGAGCGAAACTGCATGGTGCAATGCGATAGCGGCCGGCAAGGGAGTTGGTGTGACGTCATGGACAGAGGAAAGCGGAGGAGAAAGGTTTTCTTTGCCCATCATGCGCCGCGCCAATGAGTTGCTTTTGAAGAAGGATGCATCTTGGGTTATGTAGTTTTTATTTCTCTGTGCAGGTTTAGGGTATTTAATTATCATTATGAGCTACTGAATCCCTTGCAGCGTAATATTTATTACTTCTGAGAAAGTGGCGTGTTTGCACGACATAGTAACCCTTGGTTTACTGAACCTTGCTTCCCTGGATTCAACCAGAACTCAGCCAGCTTAAAGTTGCCAAGGCTGAGAAAAACACTGACCTAGAGTGTTGTTCAAAACCAGTGTCATAATCATAAGTCCTTTTGATTTGATTCTGTATATTGAAGAAAACCTGTATGTACAATATATTTCAACAATATAAGTGCCAACATCCAGCTGAAGAATCCAAATAAAACTCCAGGTTCATTCTGTCCATGGGGTCGCGATGGGTCGGACACGACTTCGCAATTAACAACAACAAATTTAATACACAGCATGGAAATGTTGAAGCAAAACTAACTGAGGTTCCCAGATACCAACCAGTTCATAGAATTAAACAGTAATTTCTCCTGCCAAACTCACATCCTCTCACATTATCCATGTAAACAATTTCACTGTTATGGAAACTGTCTGCTTCCTCTCCACACCTCCTGCAGTGTCCTTGGAAAGGTTTCAGGCTCTCACAATCTTCAGCTGAATCATAAGAGGTTTCATTTCTCCATCTAACCCATTCTAAAGCATCACCTCCCCCCCCTTACTCTAAGGGCAAGCTGAAACGAAGAGGCATGTAGTTGCCGAAGTTTCAATCTTGACAATAAGTTGTCATGTACCAGATCCTTGAAGATTTGTAACTTTAAGCAAAACTGCAGAGCTAATCTTTTCATCTATTTCCTAGTTTTAGGAACATTGTTTCTCCCATACACACCTACCCATTTTATCCCATATTTCTCTCTTCTCACTCACTCTTCCTGAGGTTTGGACAGACAACAACAATATATTTACTCTCCCAAAGGAAAAATTTCCTAAGTGTATGTGCAGGTAAATGTTTTCAGAATGTCTGCAGGTATCATGACAAGCAATCTGGAACATTCAGTGGTAGAGAGGAACTGCAAAGGACAGTTCTTACAACAGCAGGTTTTAAGCAGATCTAACGTTAGTGGGATTGTGCACAATCTCTGGTCATTCTTAGGAAGCCCACAGAATAAAAATATAGGCTATCCACTTGTTTTTTAAATGTGCAGATATTTCCCTTTAAAGTATGACACAGAAATGTGTTACTCTTATTAATCTACCAAATGGCACATTCTATTCTAATTAGAGCTATCAAAATTCTTTGCTTGCATCAATCAGAATACTTGAGCAACATGAAAGTTTCATAAGAATGGGATAATTAACTACCTTGACATATGTTGCAAATCTAATTCGGCAAAGTGTTGGAGAGCTAATGTTCTCTTTGCTGATTTGATTTCACAGAAGTTGGGAGAAGGAATAGTGGGATCTGCAATCCTGCACCTACTTCTTATAACAAGAAGAAATCAGTTGAATAAAGGTAAATGGAATCTTCAGAAAAAGTGCCCATGTTATTCTTGAATTCATGTCAAAGTGAGGAAAAATAGAGAACAGTCAGGTTTGTATACTAGATTTTGAAAACCTGAAGAAAAAGTGTAACTAGAGGGGATGGGAAACCCTATGAAATAAGATACTGAAGGTGCAAATACAAACAATTCCCACTAGAAAGAAAAATGGAGAACATCTAAATAGATTGGTATAGTTACATAAAGAGCTTTCTAATATGCTATAGAGAAACAACCTGCCTTCCACTAATATTCTTATCCATGACATTTACAACTAAAGCCTTTCTGTTGCATTGGTGTAGTTTAATTTGATACTGTGGTGAAACATGTCTGGCCTGGCTTTCCATGTGTTGAGATGGCTAGGGTTGTTTAGCAATCCTACAGACACATCACCTTTGTCCTAGATTTTGATCTTGGCTGCTTCTGAGTTTCTCATCATGTGCAAAGCCCTTTCTTTGATTAAAATCTCTACATTTTTTGATCTTGTATGGCTTCTTTCGGTTACTTATGCTTTGGCTAGTGTCGGCTTCAAATAGTGCCTAGCCACAGGGGTTTTGGGCAGCCTCATTTCCTTTTACCGCCAGCCATTCAGAGCATAACTGCCTTTTCTAGTGAGTTTGAGCGCCTGACATGGCTGAAATAATTAAGGCAACATTTTGTGATTTTTGCCTTAAGCATCTTGGGAACAGAACCTTGTCTAAAGTGCTCCCAGTCAATCTGTCCCTGAGGTGTCACATCTGCTAACTCAGAATATACAATCAACTGCTTTTCCATTCAGCCATCTTGTAGCAGATTCCCAGGCATTGTTGCCTTGTCATGAAATCAAGCACTTTCATAAATCTGCAGGGGGGAGGAGCGGAACAACCAATTTTTCATCAGATTTTCATGTCAAGGAGATAAGCATCATTATCCTCAGCAGCAATAGCAAATGGATAACATTTGCTGTGCTTGGATCCCTATATCCAGCACAGAATTGTTTATGATCGGAATGGCTTATAAGCATAATAAAATAAGCAACTAAAGTAAGCAAACATAGCATTATTCTCTTTACAAAAATGTTTCTACAATACCACACGTTAATCCGATATTAACCATAACTACTTTATTCCATGCAGGAAAAAAAGCTGGAACTATATGTAGTAGGCTAGATAAAATATTCTTGTGCTTGATGTTGCTATCCATTTAATCAGGTCCAGTTTTCATCCATTCTCCATATTTTCTGATCTTGTAGGGCTTCTTTCAGTTGTTTTATGCTCTGACTGGTGTTGCTTTGATAGTGGCTAGCCACCATTTTTTGGCATCCTTGTTTCCTTTTATTGCTGACTGTTCCAAGCATAACTACTTTTTCCAGTCAGTTTGAGTGCATGACATGACCGAAACAAATTGTCATAGTTCCGATAGATGAAATCCATCAAAAGAACTTCAAAGCAAAATTCTTCCTTAAAGAACATTTTATTCAGGAGACAAAGTATTGGCACTACATAGTTAAACCCAAAAATTAAACTCCGCTCCCCCGGATACAAAGTAACAAAGTGTAATTCTCCCCCCCCCCCAATAAGCTGTCTAAATCACATTCTCCAATTAGTTTAAAACGGGGGCTTCCTCCCCAGCTCCTCAGCCCGCCAAAATGTTATCAGCTTGTCCTTGGGTTCCCACAAAGCCGCATTATTATTATGGCTAGCTGAGCTTTCATTCCAACCCCCTTTACTGTACCTAATTTCTAAATACCAGAAAAGCATGTTAAAGAAAGAGAGAAAACGGCTGCATTTTCATCAGTTGTCAGAGCGGTAACATCCAATGTTAGTAGCGATGACATAAATAAGGCAGAAGTTTATGATTTTGCCTTCCCAGAAATATGTCTGATGTTATTATTGTGCTTAGAGCTGGGATTTAAATAATACATGGGATTTAGATTAGTCATCATTAATTTGTCTTCACTTCCTTGATTTCAATAAACCAATAGCCAACATAGCCATTCCTTGCCTGCCTTTCCCTCTGTTGTTGTTGTTGTCTTTCTCTTTACCAGCATAACTTACTGGCAGGAGACATGCACTAACTGGGTTTCTGTAACAAAGAGGAGGGAGCTACCACAATGACCTGATGCGTTTCAGCTTGGCATCCCTCACTACTGTGTAAATTTAAGTCTGTCTTCTGATCCTGTTGCTACACACACACACACACACACACACACACACTTCATTTTATTTCTAGGAACTCAAGGTACTCTATCTCTAAAAGATTGCAAGTTTTATCTGAAAAGCAGAATTGATTACAGGTAGTCCTCGACTTACGATGAAAATTGAACCCAGAATTTATGTTGCTAAATGAGAAATTTGTTAAGTGAGTTTTGTCCCATTTTACGACTTTTCTTGCCACATATGTTAAGTGAATCACTGCAGTTGTTAAGTGAATCTTCCCCACTGATTTTGCTTGTCAGAAAGTTGCAAAAGCTGATCACATGACCTCCGGGACACTGCAACTGTCATAAATTTGAACCACTTGTCAAACATCTGAATGTAAATCATGTGACCATGGGGATGCTGCAACAGTCATTGGTGTGAAAAATGATCACTTTTTTCAATGCCGTTGTAACTTTGAACCATCACTAAACAAACTGTCGTAAGTCGAGGACTACCTGTACACTGGGTGCAAAAAAAATCTGTTGAAATTCAAAACGAATCTTTGAATATTCAAAAATATTTCTTTCTGTGTTTTTCAATATTGACTTCATTTTGTAAAAAAAAAAATTATGATTGTAAGAATGGTGCATTGTGCTTGTATGTGGCAGGTGATTGGGGAAAAGGGAAAAAGAAGTGTGCTGTGAGAAGCAATTGGGCTGATATCCAATCAAATACTTCATCATTTTAAATAGAGAAGTAAAGAATCCTAACAGAAAGGGCAAACACCACACAAAATATAAAGAAGTACATAGCTAACAATGAATGCTTCCAGTGTTGGAGCATTCACAATTTCTGGAGGCAAGTTGTTCCACTGATTAATTCTTCTGTCAGAAATTTCGTCTTAGTTCTAGGTTGCTTCTCTCCTTGATTAGTTTCCATCCATTGCTTCTTGTCCTGCCCTCAAGTGCTTTGGAGAATAGCTTGACTCCCTCTTCTTTGTGGCAGCCCCTAAGATATTGGAATAGCTTGACTCCCTCTTCTTTGTGACAGCCCCTAAGATATATGTCACCCCTAGTCCTTCTTTTCATTAAACTTTTGTTGTTGTTAGTTGCAAAGTTGTGTCCGACCCATCGCGACTCCATGGACAACGTTCCTCCAGGCCTTCCTGTCCTCTACCATTTTCTAGAGTCCATTTAAGCTCACCCCTACTGCTTCAGTGACTCCATCCAGCCACCTCATTCTGTCGTCCCCT